AGCATGTGGCAAAAGAAGATGAATAAAATGAAAGTTGCCTACATAACTCAACTATTTAGTCATGCAGTCGGTGCACATTTACAACTTTTTGCTGGCTGGGGTATGTTACAATAGGAATCTATGATCATTTGTGTATATATACTTTTTTTTTAAATAACACATACTCCGCACAATTTACCATTGGAGGCAACACAAACTGGTACATTTATACTATTTATGGACAAGTTATTTGATAGCCTTGTAATAACCCTCTAATATTTGTCATGTTACCTTAGCTTTAGCATAATCCTAGCTTTTTAAGTATTTCTAGAAGTTCTGTATTGTCTCGTGTTCTCTTTTGTAAATAGTTCGACGCCTGTATTGTGAACCTTCCAGGTATGAGCTTACTATTTCGCGGTAAAAACCGCAGTTGCCAATCTTGTCTAACTCATCAAGTTTTCTAAGAAAATCAATTAAGGTAACCAATCACGAAATATTTTATCCTCTTTAAAAGGGATGCTTAGGTACCTTGCCATTAAGTTTTTCAGTTTTAGAGTCAGAGTAAGTTTTATCGTGTTCGTCACTACGCTCTGTAATGTAACTGTAATACGTACAGAAGTTAACCTAATAAACTCATCAATATAATTTAATGGCGACTAATCAAGAAACCCTCTCTTGGCCGATCACATTACAGCCTTAACGGAAATAATAAAACGACCCACTAAGTAAACCTCCTAAAGGGGGACTAACAATGACATCTGATCATGAACAATTTTGGCGTTATGCAATTAGAGTGTTGGAAAATGCGAAATTTTTTGATTCCCAAAAAAAATATATTTTGTAAAGTGCCCACGATATTAAATTTGGTTAAAACATTAAAAGCATTCATATACCTAAAGAAAATTGTTGAGTTGTAATTCTTATATGCATATTTTGTAACCAGGTATTAAGTAGATATGGATAAAATCATTTTGTTAGTCACGTAAGGAGTAGATGAAATGTTATGTTGGCACCTTCCGCGAATTCTGTACAGCTCGTCAGACAATCTGCGTAGTTTCAGGAAAGACCCTTCTGCGAAGGTCCTCAGTAGGGATTGTAGTTAACATCCGTTCTTCAGAATTCAGTCATCCTGATGGACTTATTCAATAAGAACCCCATTAACGTTACGTCATTTTCTTTGTTGCACATTCATCAGTTCGTAGTATTAGTTATTTAGGTGCATATCAGTCACTGTTCGATTGTTAACAGAGTCATTTTAAGCAAGTTTAGTCATATTAACAGCCAGTCGTGTTCCAACTCTCTTATGTAAGTAACTTCAATAAACGTAAATCATTTCAATCATGTTTCATTGTCGGTAGGGCTGTATCTGTGCTGTACATACTTGCATGTGTACATATTTAATTTGTGTATTGTGCTTTTTAGTCACTCTCGATTATTTCATTACATTTCATTATATTTGCTTATTTGGGACTGTGAGTAATCAAGAAGTGTGGTTGTTTAGAGGGGATCGAGCTATTCAAGTTTATACGGCCTTGGTGAATCTAACACTAACATTTTCACTCGTTCCGAACCCAACAACTTTAGCCCAGGTTTACAGGGTCCCCACTGGACCTGGGTAATCCTCCCGCCCGGCGAGGTACATTTGACATCTCTTAGTTTTGTCTGATGTATGTGTTGTAATACCTGGGTAATTGCTCGATCCCATTTTGGTTACTCATAGCGTGTTTGTAGTAGTTACCCCGGTTTCGAGAGGGCTCAAAAGTGCTGTACATTGGATGTTGTTCATTATAGGACTACTCCGAATTAGGTTTTCCTGCAGTTTTCCTAATTCGTAAGGTAAATTCCGGAGTAGTATAGAACCACTTAAGACCCTCTGCAGGGGCACCATTTTGGTATTAGCTTCAATATAAACTTAACCAACTATTGCTTTTGGTGTTCCTTACCCATAAAACGGCCTCAGTACCTGCTGAGAACCCAGTTAGTACACAACGTAGGTGTCCTACATGACGATTACGATCTTAGTGCACTCGGAGTGGCCCCCGAGTGACAGATTCTCGCGGGAAATGTAAGCGAGAATATTCAAATAGGCAGCCATGTTAGTTTGGCATTCCCGCTACTACAGAATATGGTCCAATATCCCGGTGTGACTTGAAGTTGGCGTTAGCTCGCCGAGATATTAGGAGGTTAAGATCATCACAGATTTTGGTGCCGTGACCAGGATACAGGTGACTGAAGGCAATGTGGTATGGAACACATTTCTTACTTTTGTTGTGTATTTGTCGATTTTAATACTAATTATATCTTCGTTTCTATCAGACATACTGCTGTGTGTTGTACTTGTAGGTAACGAGGATGACATCACTATCACGAGAGGAAGTACCTGCGGAGGACCGCCAATTGTTCGAGTTCGGTCCACTGGAGACGTTCATGAGGACTCAGGAGGCCGTCAATCAACGCCTTCTGGATGCTCTGGAACGGAGCCAACCCAGGACGGATCCGATACCAAAACCATCGTCGGCAAGTGGTGAGTCACTTCCAACCAATCTTATTTGCCCAACTCGTACCCTGTCTGAGGCAAACACTGTCCCCAAGTCCAGTTGTGCGGATCCTGACTGGAAAGTCGTAGCTAAGACCCTGGCGAGACGACCTGCTCCAATTCCCACTATGAAGAGGCCGCATTTCCGTTCCGACCGGCATAACCCCATGTTGTTTCTGGAGCAGTTTGAGATTTACTTTCGTATAAGTAGGTTTGCCCCGGAGGAAAAGTTAGATGTGGTTCGAGGATGTTTGGGAACGAGGGTGTTAGAGTGGATGGGGATTCGCGAGAGAGCTTGGGCAACTTTTGCGGATTTTAGGCGTGATTTCTTGGAACAGTTAGTATTGATCCGAGGACCCCCAACATGCAGAACGGCTGAAGTTACTGGCACAGGAATATTCTCCAGGGGCGGGGTCCATGTCGGAGTACTTTTTCAAACAGTGCACCAAACTACGAGCCGTGACGCCGTCGAGTCCTGGGAAGACGCTGGTGGCGGATGTGATGCGACAGTTCCCGAGCTCTATACGCGCTCTGTGGGCCTTGGCTTCGTCCCACGATTTGGGTGGTGCCCTGAGGTTTCTCGCCCAGCAGGAGGAGGCAGGAAGGCCACGTCCACATTCAGTTTCAGAGCCGACAGTCGCAGCGGAAGCCACCTGTGGATTCTTCCGAGGGGCGCCGGTCTCAACAGGAAGTGGTTTCTCCATATTTGGTGTTTCCTATTCCGCCACCCAGTACTAGTAGGTACCCAACTACCCGGACTTCAGAAAACTCCCAGGGGGAACGATAAGGAAGCGTCGGTGCTGTGGTGAAACATACATTCAAACCCTCTTCTCTTCACTTCATTAATTTTGTTCCAGCAGATCTAATGTGCAATCTTTTCCATTTATGTCAGCTGTGTCTGTGTCACAGTGCACGTCTGAAGGAGTTATGAATGTGACTAATGTCCCTTTGGGTGTGCGAATGTTGGCGCTAGTGGAATTTAGTTGTGAGGTTATGTGATGTGTGTCAAAAGTTCAAGTTCCCTTCTCGTAGTTTGTTGGGTGCCCCACACTCGATTCAGTTTGCCGCGCCCGGAGACCTAGTGACGGTGAACGATTATGTACCTTTACTCCAGGGGCATAGTAGGGTTTCCTGTGATCGATAGTTTTCCTGAGGATGCTCATCTCTACCCACTTCGATGTGCGCAAGCCAAGAGTTCTGCCCTTTGTATTGTGACCGACTGCCTCTATCCTAATATTTGTACCCTCTGCAATCCTGAGACGCTTGTCTGCTGGGATACAGCCAACCGCTTGCCGAAGGGGCGTTCTGAGATGCCCCAACCTTAACAACGTCCTGTGAATATGATTGTCGATACGAAGCACCCTATACATCATGTAGGTTACACAAGCTGCCAACAGAAATCTGGATTACAGAAAAGGGAAAGAGAGCGAAGATGAGACGGATGGAATTTCTTGGAAGACCACATGTGTTTACAATTTCAAACACCTGCAGTCCACTTTTTTCTTAGAAATGCGTGAAATGCAGGGAATGGGCGATTTTGGGGTGGTTTAGGGGTATTAGCAGATCAAATTACCGCGTGGCTTGGGTTGGTCAAATAAATAGGATTTAACATGTGTGTTCATGGTCTTTTTCTTGTAACCGGCTGAAGTGTAAAGTACGGCTTGTCTTGAAATATTTTGTTATACCTTAATCATTGCTGTGTGCTTTTGCTTTGTTATATCAGGTGAGGTATTTGCTTTGTAACGTGTTTCATTTTAATAATAGTGCAGATTAGAGGGGCACTAGTCAATTTAAATTGCATTTATTCGTATTTGAATAGGGAAATAATCTTTAAAAATTCGAGGCAGAACCCATAAAAAAAACACGGATAGAAACGAATCGGTAATAAAATAAAAGTACCACGTTTTTAAGCGCCGCTCGTGTTTGGACCGCAAAGTTTTTAAATAGTGATCTGTAATACCTTGTTGCCACAATTTTTACAGTGATCTGCATTACCTACAGTACATTGTTTGGAATATATTTGATACTCTATGGTTTTATGGCGCGTTTTTTTAAATTAAGCCAAGGTACTTGAGGATCACCGTTTACAAAGCAAATGAGATTAATATATATGTTTTCAGTTTAAACAGCTTAAGTAAAAAAATATGCCATAAAAAAGGAAGGAATATCCAATTTGATACAAGGAGCGTGTAAAAAATTTTTATCTAAAAATATTATAGCAAATTAAATACATACATTGATACAAATTAGGGTATATTTTTTTGTAATTTTAATAATTGCTTTATTGCAAGTACCTACTCCTAATAAATACAAGTATCTCACATAATTAGGTAACTGTGTTCCTTTTTTTTTTCATTAAATATTTTTTATGTGCTGCAACTTTAACTGGTTCAATCAAATGTGCGGGAGGTTTCTTTGCTAAAAAACTAACAAACTTGGCATCTTTACCCTTAGCAACTTTGTTAAGACTCCTAAACCGCCAATATAAACAACATCGCACAATTAATGATACAAAGGCATCTCCTACATTATGTTCACTACAATTAAAAGGTGAAAAACTAAAATTTTTTCTAAGTAAAAATGACAACACAGAAGATATATTATATCTTTGACATACGCTATTCTTGGTATCCAATAAAATAAACTATTTAAACAATTACTAACCATAACATTTAAATAACTACCACGAATAACTAATTTGCAATTTTGGTACTTCCTTGCCAAAATTATGTCATGATCAAAATTAGTGTCTGATATTTGTAAATTCCTTTGACATGTGTCACAGACCTTAAATTTTTTAATTAACAATCGGCCTACATAACCACTAATGTATGTAATTATTGATCTGTGTAGTTTGGTTTTTGTATGAAGGGATATGTGTTCTGGTACCTCAATTTTTTGATTATACAAATTTGGTGTATGTACCAGTGACTGGCTAGGAATACCAGTAATAAATGATTTGAGATTGTCTAACCCTCCGGAGTTTAAGTCTTCCTCACAGTTAGAGGAAGGTGAATGAGTAGCCAGAAAATTGTTGACTATCAATGATTTCATTGATGCCACAAAATGAGAAGCATTTGGATTAATATTTCGGTAATTATGACTTCTAATATAACCAAACAAATTTTCAATAGGGTCTTGATTAAAGCCCTAGTTGCCACAAATGCAAATTTCTTATTTTCTAATAATATTTTACATATATACATAAAAGCTCTTATAGCATGTGCTAAATTTTTTAAAGATGGATTATATACAAATTTCTGTCTCTTGTTACAAAAAAACTGCATCGATTCCACCACTTTAACTGCATTGGACCAAAATGCTGAATGGGGAGAGTTTATTGTGACACAGCTTCGATAAACTTTACCGGGATGTTGACGCAGAGCTTGATTGTTTAAGCTATCAAATAGCTGGTCTAAAAAGAGGATCAAATCCGCCTTATCCCTTACTTCAGACCCCAAATTGAACTCATCATTGGTGTCTGAAAAAGTTTAGATAGCTCAGTGTATAATGTACTAGTTAAAATGTTGTCTACAGACATGCATATCTATTATTTTCAGACAACTATTGCTACCCTGTATTACATGTAAAATATAATAATTTATTCATAATTACCCCATTTTGAAAGCCTCATCATTAGAGATCCTACTGTATAACTAAATACTTGTGTGCAATAGGAAACTTTCATTTTTTTAATTTTCTCTGGAACCACATGCTCATCTGTTAACTTGGAACATAATCTTAATGTTGGTTCGGAACTGTCCAAATTATGAAATTTCACGATGTGTTTCCAGCTTGCGATCCCTTTTTTGTTATTCATAACAAAGTGAAGATCTTTATTTAATAAGTTATTACGTATTCCTTTCAGTAAGTGAGGGACATCATAAAAAGGAACGATTTCTTGATTATTAACAAGAAATCCAAACAATCGATTTTCTTGTCCCTCCCTTAGGAAGTGCTCCCTGGTGTCCTTAATAAGGGAATTTATAGCTGCTTGATTTGATGCCCCTTGATCGCATACTGTTGCCACAACGTCTAGGCCTATTTCTAAGCAGTTCTTGATTACCTAAAGACCTATATATTAGTAACCTAAATAAGTAGCATAAAAATGACTAACCTCTGTAAGTTGATATTTAAGGTTTTCACTGGTCACAGGCCCAGACGAAAACGTAAAAGAAACTGGTTGTCGCCACTGGCGATGCAGTCCACGTAGCATAAAAAGATTGACATGATCTGCTAATTTAGAAGATCTCTTATGACCAAAATCTTCAATTCCCACAATAATATCATTGTGACGATTATAATATACATTTACATCAATCGACATTTCGTCAAACATCAAAATACAGATTTTGTCGTCTTTCTTCATACCTCTAATATTCTCCTGTAGAGACTTAAAAATAATTTCGTTAATTCCTGGTTGTAAAGGAATTTTTTGCAACAACTTGCTCAATGTCCTTGGATGAGGAAGTGCGAAAATTTTTGACAATAGTCTATATCCTGTAAAAACGTAACTAAAAATTTCGGCAGAATACCTAATAAAACTCTTACCCTTTCCACTGGCTTTGTACAGTGATAATGCCAAAATTTTGTCTTCAAGTGTATACCTTCTACACTTCAGAGCACGTTCTTGGTTCCGAATTTGTGACAAAATAAATTGGTGTGTGTAATTGTTTACTTGGCTCATTATCTTCTGAAATCCTTCAGAATTGCATAATTGTGCTTTTTGTAAACGAATTTTATAGGAGGTTATTTTCCTAGCCATCCTTGCCATCTTCACACTCCAGGTGGTCAACTTTTTGTAGAGCAGGTTGGCCCTTGGGTCAAGTTGAGAGGATCGAGTCACTCCGACATCTTTCAATAAAGATAATCTTCGTTTCTTTATCACTAAAGCGCAGTAATGTAAATATATTTAAACGATTCAATTGTTTACATACCTCTCACAGAATTCACTTCCATTGGCTGTGTCCTTTTGTTCAAAGTATCTTCTGGGGCTTCCTGGTTGAATTGTTCCGATGAACCTGATATTTCTGCATTAAACAAATTAATTGCCTAAGTAGGTAATTCGTGAAACATTGAAATGTTGCGCATACCTATCCCATATTCTGCTTCCATTTCCTGCTTACTCTTATGAGATTCATCTTCTGGGACTTGTAGATTAAATTGTTCAACATTTAACTGGCTGCAACTCAATATTTCATCTGCTTGTTTGGATGAACAGGGTATTTCTACATACAAATTACATTTAATTATGTAGGCAAATTGTTAAAATGTGATTTACCTTCTAAATATAAAGTGGGAATGGCTGTATACTTTAGTCCTCTTCGAGATCCGGCAATGATGTTGTGGGCTTCAAAATGTCTTTCACACACTCTAAATGTATTATATATCTCGAAATCGGTATAATTAATGTAATTCCGCGGTCTAAGTATCATAAGCCACCTTTTGAAAAGTTCAGAATAATGTTTGGGGTTAGGAAAACGATGTCTTGGTAAAAATTGATCTTTACAATTATGTACACAACACTTTCTTTTAGGTGATAACGAAAAATCCATTTTGTGGTCGTTATTTGATAAACGAAGAATTATTATCACAAATCACACACGTGATTTGTGATTATTGTGATTATTATGTTAATAAACTCAAACAAAGCATAACTACAGTTATTTAATCCAAATATAAGTTGTAAAGCACTATAAAAAATACACGGATTGTACGCACGTTGCCGAAACACATAACCTAAAAATTTCGTTACACACTCCAGAGCAATTTTAATTCTATACAGAGAGACCTGTTTAAATGGATATGATACGTGCTAAATAGTTACCGGTCCAAACACAAGTGGTGCTACAAAACGTGACGATTTTCACGGATGTGCGATCCGTTTCTATCAGTGTTTTTTTTATGAATATAGCTTCACAAAACAAAAGGAAAAGAACAACTTTCATTTTTCGCGGAATCTAACGAGCAGGCGGTTCGTACGCGTTTACCTTGACTACTATACTTTAGAGGTGAGAGGGCGGGGTGGGGCGGTGGGGTATCGGTACGGCAAGTACGATGCGTTCATGGTTCATTACTTGTGTGGCTTTCCAAGCGCAAAAACACGTGCGATTTCATTTTTATGCTAAATTAACCAATTGAAGTGAAAAAACGAAGATTAGTTTAATTGGTCTTCTTCCTCTGGTTAACAATTAAGTAAGTACTAACGTTACGATAGTAATAGAAGCAATTATCAAATATTTTTCATAAATTTGTAGATTAATATGGGCCCAAAACTAAAAAGAATGTGCAAATTTTCCGACGATATAGGAAAAGAATACCCATTCATAAAAAAATCAAAATTGGATTCCGAAGTATATTGTGAAAAATGTAAGAGTGTGTTTTCTATCGAGTATGGAGGTAAACGTGACATAACAAGGCATTTAGGGTCGGAGAAACACAAAAACGTTTTGCTTTCCCTTGCTTCTTCAAGCCAAGTCACCAATTATTTCAGAAGGGAGGAGTTCGGTTCAAGTGAAAAAAAATAGCATTATCTGAGGCAGTATTTTCATTCCATACAGTGGTTCATAATCAGACGTTTAGATCGATGGATTGTACGACCAAGATAATCCAACATTTGTTCGAAAAAAAATTTGCGTCGAAGAACTAAAACCGAGGCAATAATAAAGAAAGTCATTGCACCTTTTGCTGCTTCTGAGCTCACAAATGATTTAGAGTCTTTAGATTATGTATCCATTTTTTCAGATGCTTCAAATCATAAAGATTAAAGCTTTTCCCGACACTAGTTCGTTATTTTAAGAAGGATACGGGCGTTGTTGTAAAACTTTTGGATTTTGTTTCACTTCCTGGGGAAACATCAGAAATGATTTCAAACTTAATTATAAACATTTTAACGACCCACAACTTAACAAATAAATTAGTACCTTATTGTGCAGACAATGCAAATACAAATTTCGGTGGAATTTCGAGAAAGGGGGAAAATAATGTTTTTAATAGGGTAAAAAAACACTTAAATCGAAATTTATTTGGTGTAGGATGCACAGCTCATATAATTAAAATTATCAACAATCATTTTAATTAATGTAACATTTTAATTCAACAATCACTTTAAATAATTCTTGCCGATTTTAAGAGCATGAATTCATATGATTGTTGAATTAAAATGTTCTCTGAAAATATTTGTACAATTTTATTCCAAAATTTTACAATGTGACAGTCAGTCGTATGCCTCTACTTTTTACGTTTGTTGTTATTGTCTTACGTATTAAATATGATTGTTTAAAAAATGTTACTTAATAAAAATGTGAAATGAATTATATTGTTATATTGAATGAGTGTATATGAAACTGTATTTCAACAAACAGTTAATAACAAACAACTGAATTGAATTGCAAGAAATACTTACTTCGATTAATAAAACGATTTTGTCCAACAAACATAAAAATTCATTCATTTTAAATGTGGAATTAAAATTATCAACAAACATTTTAATTCATCAGTCATATAAATTCGACGATTTGAAAATTGAAGCCGAATATTTTCAACAATCACTTTAATTCAACAAACAAATAAATTTTTATTGTTAGACGTAGTAAAAGAATCTTTTAAAATTATTGTTGAATTAATATGATTGTTGAATTAAAATGTTACATGAATTAAAATGTTTGTTGATAATTTTAATTAGGCGCTAGTATACACGTTCCCAAATACACTAAAGGATAGTTCCTGAAACTTCCGCACAATCACAGATACGAATTAAAATTATCAACAAACATTTTAATTCAACAATCATTTTAAATAATGCTCTCCGATTTTAACATCACGAATTAATATGATTGTTGGGAATATTTGTACAACACTTCAATAATTGAATTAATATGATTGTTGAATTAAAATATTTGTTCATAATTTTAATCCCACATTTAATATGAATAAATTTTTATGTTTGATGAATTAGTTCTAGTTAGTTATATTACTGTTCGTTTATGTATTCGTTTGTTGATTTGTATTGTTAAACTTTCGTTATACACATTGCTATATAATTCATACATCATTTCAATTAAATGAAGTTTTTTAAACAAACATATTTAATGTTTCACATAAAAACAACAAACATAATAAATCAGGAAATAAAATTAACTGTTGTTTATAATGTTACATTGTAAACTTTCGTAATAAAAAGTAAAACGGCGTTCCATACGTCTTCAAGGTGATGCGACAATAACTCGTTTTTTTTGTTTTCCTCTAATGAAAGGAAATTCTTCCATATGTGAGGTAATGGAACATCGCGGATATCTATCACATAACGCACAGGAACCAAAATGCCTGCCAAAACAGAAATAATTTAATAATTACACGATGTGAACAAATTTAAACAGTAGCCATACAGTAAGTACTATGAAAAAAGGTTTCCACTTTTACGCACTTTGACGTTAGAAAAACTATGGAATCATTGTTTAAACATTTGTTCACTATTATTATCGTGCCGTACCTCCGTCAGGAATAACATTATAATCCGTTTTTAGCTCGAAAAAATCGGTCGCATGAGTGAAAATATCAACATTTTCGGAAATTGCCCGCCATCTTGAATTATGAACTTCCTGTTCAGATTTCGAGATGCCAACATCGATATTCGTGTTCAGCAGGTCTAAATTAGTAAAAAACGCCTATTTGGCCAAATGTTGTCTGAAATGCCCCTAGAACCTGTTAAAACGCTGCTTTTTATAAAAGTGAACCAGTCTATTCATCATGGCTTAAAACGGGAGTACGAGAGAAATCCATAAGTTGCGTTGACATTACAACTGCTTCCAGCCTTGGCATTCGTTCCACCTCAAAATGTAATTCCCGTTTTTGAAGACATTTTCCAGCAAAACATTTTTTCTCCTGAACTGCAAGTTATTGTTGATTATTTCGAAGACACGTGGATCGGTCACCTAGTTTCGATGCCGTACATGTACAACATGGACTTCCAAAAACAAACAACTCAGTGGAGGGATGGCATCGAGTTTGCCAAATGCAACTGTGTGCAGATCACCCAAACATCTGGAAATTTATTTCGGCATTAAAGAGGGAGCAGAGTATAAACGAATTACGAATAGATCAACATATCAGCGGGCAACCACCTACCATCAGTCGTAAGGTGATTGTGCACAAAGACTTTAACACTAGTAAATAGTTATGCACCTGACATAAATATATATGATGATTTCAATTTCCCCCTTTCACGTTTCCCTGAAGTTGCTCAACCTGATCTTATTTGCTAATGTCACTGTTATGGCGCTGAGTTCGGCCTTCGTACATTGTCATGACGAATTTTGTATAAATTAAAATTGTTTAAAGAGACCCACAGAATACGGCCTTCTCAGAATAGAAACAGAAATGTTACAAATTTGTATGATATTTTGGCGGCCACTGATGGGTGTGCTGTGAACTAAAGCGTCTAAATCAGAGTAGCGCCATCTGGTGACCAGCTTCTAAAGCCATGAAGTAATTTCCCCAATTCGATCTAAATCATAAATATCGATAAAGATACAGAACGATTTGTCGTACGAAATATTTGGTTTTAATTGCTGTTTGGACTAAATATTTTTGTTAAAAAATATCTTGAGAACTAAATTTTTTGTTCCAAGAGGTAATAAAACCATTTCAGCAAATTGTCACACAAGTTTCAACAAATCGTCGCATTGGAATAACAAAGTTCTAACTGCAAATTTGGGGAAAAATAAAATTTTTATGCAATATGGTTCTATCTGCTGAAATGTACGCATTTTGACTAACCTTAGCGACATCAACCAAATAATAACCGAGTTAGTTAAGTTACAAAAGTTCTATCTGCATTGCAGAAATTTGCTTGTTTGGTGTAGTAAAGGTGTATCTGCAATCCTTTGTGTAATATGGTTCTATCTTGATGTAGATAGAACTTTGTTTTTTCTAACTGCACAGATATAACTTTGTTAACATCATTATCTTGACAACAGCTGTTATGGAGAGAGGGATTTGAGTTGTAACGGTTTTTTGCGAACCAAGTTATTATTGCTATAAATTGTCGTGTGCTTTTGTTGTGAAAAGAGAGAAGTGTGTGTAGACTTGCATATTTCTGTTTTGTTAATATGGAAGGTATACACCCACGTACGTTAAGAATTATTAGTATGGGTAAGTATATAAAAATTATAATATAAACTAGTTTATTTATTGTAGCTAAGCAGGAAGTACTGGTTAGTTGTGATGGAACCGAGTATGATAAGCAAGACGTTACTAAGAATGGGTAGGCACAAAAACAATGTCATAGATGAATAATTTGATTTCTCTTTAGAATAGAAGCTTCGAATCATACTCCTCCTGATTTAGATGAACATATAAACAGTGTCCCTATGCAATCTTGTGATTACAATGATGATGGCATCGTCCTAATACAAATTAATGCAGAGTAAGTGTACTTGAAAATTTTTGGAGCACACGAAGATTAAAGTAAAATGACTTACAGGGACATACCAGCTATGAAGGAAGATGCAGCTATTCAAGTGATAGAAGACGTTGAAATAGTTGATCCCAATGGGCATATCATTACAAATATTAATGAACTTTCAAATTCTAACGTTCGTGAAATCGTACCATTGGAAGAAGGCACACATACTTTGCAATCAGAAAGCTTTGCTGACGTGCAAAAATTAGGTCCTGATGAAAATGGAGATGCTACACCTACAGCATCGCAAAAAACTAGAAAGCGAAAACGAAACGTAAATGAATGGAAAGTTAATGTTCGTAAGAGAAAGTGTCAGGCAGGAGAAGAATACGTCAATGTTAGGGGCAAAACCGTTACGCGACGAAAGCTAACAAACAAAAAAAATTGTTTAGAAAATTGCAAATTTAACTGTGCAAAAAAGATTTCATTAGAAGAAAGGGAACAACTTTTTCAAACTTACTGGTCTTTAACGCAAAATGAGAAGTATGTGTTTATAAAAGCCACCACCCAAAAAGTACTGAAAGGACGAAGAACTACTGAATTATCTAGGAGAAAGTACACGTTTGTTTATAATTTAAAGGTTAAAGAAGAGATCATTAGGGTGTGCAAACAATTTTTTTTAGGAACTCTTAGCATCTCACAAAAACCTATCTACACATCCCACCTTAATGTCAATGAAGTAAAGAAAGATCAAAGAGGAAAGCAAAAAAAGACTTCACAGAATTTTAAACAAAATAAAGAAGATGTTATGGAACATATTAAAAGATTTCCTGTGATAGAATCTCACTATTGCAGGCGAACTACAAAAAGGAAATATTTAGAGCCTAATTTGAGCGTCGCCAAAATGTACAATCTATATGTTAAAGATTGTGAAGAAAAAAACACAATTCCGGTTAAGTTATCTTATTATAGGCACATTTTTACACATAATTTCAATTACGGGTTCCATGTACCCAAGAAGGATAGGTGCCTAAAATGCGAGTCCTATAAGATAAAGAAAGAAGACAAAACTTTATCACAGGAAGAGGAAGACGAATATAATACCCACAATGAATTGAAAGCCCGGATGAGACTTGAAAGAAACACTGATAGAGATAGTAAAATTCCTACACTCAGTTTCGACTTGGAAAATGTTATCACATGTCCCCGTTCGGAAGTTGGCGATTTTTTTTACTCCCAAAAATTGAATATCTACAATTTAACAGGACATTTTTCGACCACTGGGCAAGCTTATTGCGCCATTTGGTCAGAGTCGAGGCAAGGTCGCGGTGGGAACATTATTGCCAGTGCGTTCAGGAGAATTTTGGACCAAGTCTTAACTGACAATAATGTCTCCGAATTGATTACCTGGAGCGACTCTTGTGTTCCCCAAAATAGAAATTCTTTTATTTCATTGGCCGTGATGAATGCCATTAGGGAGCATCCAGAACTAGGAGGTATCACAATGAAATATTCCATACCAGGACACGGTGCTATCCAAGAAGTAGACAACATTCATAGTAATATTGAGAGATTTATGGCGAAAACTGAATTTTATTCCCCTCTTTCTTTCATGAGAAATCTGAAGTCTGTAAACAATAGAAAACCTTACAAGATATTACAAATGCGAGACGAAGATTTTAAAGATTTTGAAAAAAATGCAAAAAGGTTATCTTTTAATAAAATTCCGTTTTCGAAAGTAGCCGCTCTTCAGTTTACACAAAATTTATTTGAAGTTGGCTACAAATTAAAACATGGCGATGATTTTGTGATGCAAACTTTAAAAAATGATCGGGCTTTGGGCATTCCTTCACGCCGCAATAAAGAAACCACAAGCGTTTTAGATTTAAAACCAAAAACGTTAATACCCAAAAATTCATTACCGGAGGAGAAAATAAAGGCCATTAAAAAGATGATAGACAGCTGTATGCCGGACATAGACAAAAAGTATTTTTCAGCACTATTAAATACACTGAAATAAATATTTTGGGTTTTTCAAGCTTTTTTGTTTGTTTTTTTTTTAGAAAATTTGTCATTATTTTCCAGTATTTTATGAAAATGTATTGTCTTTATTTTGTAATAATCTTAAGTTCATATTCTCTTTTGTGCAATAAAAATATGTTAACAGAAATAATTTCGCGTTTTTTCATATAAATATTTAAACATCAATGCAGTTACGTAGAGTAGATAAATGAGTTTTATTAAACAGTGAATATATAATAACACAGGTGTATGTGACACATAAAACTTTGTTTAATTTAACAGCGTTGCTTTGCAAAAGTACACTGCGTAACAAAGATGTATGTGCCACATAGAACCTTATTCGACACAATCAAACTAATTAAATTCTAGAACAAGGTTCTATCTGTATTTTGATACCTAGAAAAAAGAATTAAGATTTTATATTACCTCTACTAATTTTATTGAAAATATTTTATTTTTATATTTTCTAATAAGTGGCAAAATTTAAAAGTGTAAAATCTAAAAATAAGTTAAATAGCGGAATTCAAAACTTTGCATCGCTATTTCTCAAAATGAAGTTTGGCACAGTTAGTACTTTGTTATTCCAATGCGACGCATTCACGTCATTTTGCTGTGGTCATGACATTTTTTATTTACAAAAAACAAGAAAAAATAGAGTTTCAAAAATTCGCGTTTTTTTAGCTTCACATCGCCATATCTCAGTGACCACATAAGTTATCGAGGTTATTCTTTCAGTTTCTGAAAGATAATTAATGAGCGCTTCTAATGATGTATAATTTATAGTAAATAAAAACTATTAACATAGCCAAAACAATAAACAAAGTCGTGGAATTGCTTTATGCGTGGCATAAATTTTATTAAGCGAGAAACTTTTTTATTATTGAAAGAATGTGTATACTTATATTGTGTGAAATGTGGCCAATAGTCACAAATAGTTTTTTGTGAAAAAATTACTTAGATATGTATTACCGTTTTCTTGTAAATAATTTTGTACGTGACCGCTCTGCCCGCACGCCGCGCGCTATTGTAACGTGTGCAGAACACCGCGCTTACCTCGCGTGCCGTTGTACAATCTTGTACGCAAGTACTGTTAAATAAAATAGAAAACAAAAACAACCAAATTTACATATTATATAAATTATAATATATACCCCTTCGTGATCAAAACATTGACTTTAAAAAATTTAAAAAACGATATAAATTAATGCTTTCGCCTATCGGCTATTCCGATCTGCTTAAATGAGTAAAATAAATAATTTGTATCATTTTTTTGTAGATGTATGTTTTGCTGATAGACTTGCCTTTTATTTTTAAATGTGAAATGTTTTTAATATAAAATAGACAAATTAATTCAATTAAAACTACTCAAAAAGCCTTGAATGAAATTTGCAACAAATAAAATTTTACAAAAAATGTTTCATGTACAATTTCATCGAATTGAACCAATCGCTAAAACATTACAAAAGTAAATTAATTTTGTAAAATTTTTACTTTACGGTGAGGTTTACAACCCTCCGCCGGCGCCGTACTACGACGTTTTGTCGATCCTGTTTCCCATGAAATTGACCTATACAATTTAATTTTGATTAAATTGTCCACAATAAACAGCTGATGATCTTCACATTGCTTATTAAACCATGTATCATATTTTTGTTTTATTTTAAGCACTAGAGAGTTTTTGATAATTTTCTTAACATCGTATTTGAGTTTATGCTTTTCAAATAAAGTGTTGAAGCTGTGTAGCATAAATGTCACAATTTCTGCAAAGTACTTATTTGGTTTGGTTAAATAGTTTATAGTATGCGTGGATCCATAATTTTTGTTCAATAATAATAATTGAGATTTATCGTCAAGGCATTCACTTTCATCTAAAAATGCATTTTTACATTTTTTACAATCGAATTTCTTTGATAGCTTAAAATATAGGTAACCAGCTACATACACATTTGTACAATCTTCTAATGTTACGCCGGTTTTTCTCGTGCTTTCCAAATGAGTTACCTCTACCGCTCTTTGTTCGTCGTCGTCTTGATCGCAATCGTATTCAACTTCTAAATCATTGTCATTACAACTAGTGTATACCTCCCTTTATACCTTTTTTTGGATGGTCGTGGTTGTCATACAATTCCAAGATGTCGTCTGCATCTACTTCACAATTTGCTCCGTCCACTGGGGCTTGTAGACGAATATGCATGTTGTGTTGTAAAGCTATACGAAACTGCTTTACAGTTGGTTGAGCATTGTAGCCATTTCTATTTCTTATCACTGAAAAAAAGTTTTCTAATGGATCTTGATTGATTCGTGACGTCAGCATGTATTTGTAGTCGTCTTTTACAAGGGAGTCCCACAAACCCAGAATTGCTCTAATGGTCCACTGAAACCCTTCTATACAGTAAATGTTGTTTCTCGCCCGCCCGTTTTCAAAAATTTCAATTTTTTGGAAGTACTGCAATGCTTCGGCTAACCTTGTTGTTGTGAAGGTGTTGTAAGTTGATAATCCGCAATTATACGGATTTGCTGCTTTAACAACCCGACTATTCAAGCAGTCAAATGTGTCGTTGATGTATTTTAAAAATGAAGCCGTATTCTTTGCAGTTCTTGATCGAACCTCTCCAGTTTCGGCACATGTTGCAATTGCAGCTGCTACCGAGTGGCTAAACACCTGCACGGCATACTTCACTTTCATTTTTTGAAAGGTTGTTGGATTTACGTGCGTATCTGTAATTTTTAGCATTGCTCTCGTTACATTGCTTTTATGATCGATTTTATAAGTATCGACAAAATCGTGCCAAGATACTTCATTACCGTCTACGACAATTTTTAATTTTGTATTCATAAAATTGTTCCTCAAGCTTTTAATTAAATGGGGTGTATCAAAACATGTATATATCTCCATTCCATTTATAAAAATTTTAACGTTATCTTTTGAAGCTCCCAGGGATGCCAGCGCTTTTCGGTTGTTGCTTCCTTGGTCACAAACGACCATCCTTGGAACCAATCCAATATCTTGCAATTTTTGCAAAACTTTCTGCAACAAAGTACTTATTACTTCTCCCTTAACTGGACCTGACGATACGTAATAAGAAAAAGGCATCTTCCAATTACAAAATAACCCCCTCACAAAAAATAACAACGCTTGATTAGCTAATACTTCTCTTCTTCCCAAATCACCATAATCTTGAAAACCTTCAATAAAATCGTGATAGTGGTTGTAATTTAATCCTTTTTTTAAAGCAATTTCATCATATAAAACCACGCATTGTTTTTCCGTGTTCGTCATTTGCTTTACTTTGGCGTTTAGTTTCTCAATTAGATTGTTATTTTCTCCAGTCTTTAAATTGTTAACTTTTAACCAAGTTCTTATCGTGGATACACTTGGCAATACAAAACCCAAATCGAGCATAAATTTATAGTTACTGGGCGATTTGTAGTAAAACGATAAAGCTAAACGTTTTTCTGATGGGGTCCAACTGGTCCTTTTACGGTGATATAATTGCATTTGTACAAACGTCTGTATTTCGGTAGATTTGTTTTTTAATTGAGATTGGGAGTTACTAATAGAAAATGAGAGCCTCTTTCGAAGTCGGGTATTTGTTAGTTTCGTATTTTTCAAAGCACTACTTAATTTTCGAATTTTTTGTTTTAAACCAAGTAAATTTTGCTCTTGATTTTGATTTACGTGTTGGACAATGGGCATACCTATGATGTCATCGAGAATAGTCGAACTAGAAAGGTGAACAGAATCATTATGACGAGTTTCTAGTAAATCTTGTCCCGTAAAATGTAAATTGTTTGAACTAGCGGCAGCGTACGTTTTATCACTGATAGATTTTTTAACTACAAGGTTTGAAACGTCTTCGATTAACCCATCAATTTCGAGCTCGTTACCTATGGTTTGTTATAGATTACTGTTTGAGAGAAAAGAAAAATATTCCTTACCATTTAAAACAATATCTCCTGTCTTAACGTCATATTTAAGGGGCACAGCAAAGATATGTAAATGTTTTTTACCCCCACCACTTCGAATGCAGGATGCCAGAAAATGATTTTCACACAATATTTTGTTTTTAAGAGCGTCATCATCCATGTCAAGCAATAACACATTACCACAATTTATAATCCATTGAGTTGACATCGAGAAGCATCTTTCACAGGAAATTTAAAAAAACTTAACTGTGGAGAATTTTTCCTTGAATTTTTACAGTTCACATATACACAACAGTGACTTGCACTTGTGACACTAAATCTTTCACTTGCCATTATTGTTTACGCTAAAGATTTAAACATAACGCAATTATTTAAACAAAGGTAAACTAAAAGTTCAACTTGGTATACTTCTATAAACACCAAATCCACGCATAGGCCGTCAGCCCAGCGTATAAATATAGACCATGATTGCGTACTGTATGCCGTATTGGTTTTTCATTTAATAATGGTAAATTAAAATGGTTTTTAAAAAAGATATCGCACCGATCAGATGTTATTTAGCTTTTGCTATACAATACAAATTTGTATTAAGTTTGGAACTTATTTAATATCGTATTTATAACTAAAATATTTATTTACGTTATAAGACCAAAAGTAAGATTTTCCGCTCGAAGTGTATAATGATGTGTAAAAAATGAACAAAAAATTATTTAAAAACTGTAAAAATGTTTATTTATATACAATGGAATATTTATTAATTATATTTATTTTTTTAACGGCTTCGGAATATTACAACTTTCATTCTGATTTATAAGATTAGTTTTTTTCTATAACCGTACGCTTTTTTGAAAAACATGCAATTTGACAATTATTCAATGTCAAATCAAATACTCAAGAGGTTATGTCATGTTTCAGTTTTTGAAATTAATACTTACATGATAAGCGTATAGAAAAAAATAGTGTATTATACACGGTGGAAAATTAGATTTTAGCGCTCTCGCGATTGCTTCCCTCCGCTTCGCGTCGGGAATCAAACATCGCGCTCGCGCTAAAATCTACTACTTTTCCCCCTTGTATAATAAATAGCTATTAAAACCCATACATGCATATTGCTACGTACAGTACGCGATTAAAAAAGAGTTCTTATTTTCAATATTACTTTTTGACATTACTACCCACGAGAACCTTATGCATTTTTGTAAATAGTCTTTACAAGATGTAAATTTAGTTTTAAGTCATTTTCAAACCGTGCGCGATTATGTAATATATTACATAATTTATTTACATATATTTTTAAAGTTATAATATACAATGTGATCAAAAAATGCGTGACCGGAAAAAATCGATTATTAGGGTACATATTGCCAATATCTACTACTACTTTTGACATTCTTAAACGCGGTTTTAATATTTTATAAAATATACTGATATATGTATTTATTATAATATATGACATACGTGGTAGTAGATATTAGAAACATGTATCTTAAAAATCGATTTTTTTTGGTCAGGCATTTTTGATCACATTGTACTTAGTCCTAGCCGATTGGTATTCGAGTATTTTATGTAATAAATTATCAAAATATACGGTACAATATCATTGCAAATTTAATATTTTCTTTTATTTTAGTGATCGCACTACAGGTATACCGAAGATTTTCCGCCGGATTTGCTTTTTGCGAACTTCCTTTTTATAAACTCGGCATACGGATATCGTTATAAACAACTTAATAAACTTACACTTTTACTTTACATTTCAATTTATCATAATCGCATGCATAGGTAGTAATCAAATATCCAAAGAGTATACCGTACGCGATCTTGGTCTAAATTTATACGATGGGCTAACAAAAGATGTAATACCTACACACTTTTTTCACTATCCGCACATACAAATTTATCCGCTAATAGTTTTATAGTTGATACTGCAATAATGATTATTATTTTACTAGTTTTTACAAACACGATTTAGGCACATTAAACGCATGTATGGGCTCCGGGTACAGGGTACGGCGGGTACTACAAAACCTTTAGAGTTTAGACATTACATTTCAATTACAATACGATTTCGTGTTTATTCTCGTACCTCGCTTAACACGTAAGATAAATCAGGGGACAGCTGATTTTGCAAAATTCTGCATAATGAAACAATAAATGTGTGCGGTGAAGAGTCGGCATCTTTGATGCACGGCGTCTTGCACGACGTTGTTTATCTTACACATGAAATTAAATGCTGACGTTTGAATTTGCGCAATTATTTCACTGCGGCACAGATATGTGATACCTATGTCTTTTATCTATGACTGCAGACTATCTTATAATTAAATACTTAAACTTGAGCTGATCGGTTATTATGTATGCTTATAAATTTCTACTACGGACCTGGATTTTAAAAGTGCTATTAGGTACGTAGAAATCTGCGAGGAAGTATGAGATAATTGCGTTTTAGTTCATGTACCATGCTGCAGATGGACGATGCAAACTATCCTAACGAGTAGAACATGCAATCGGCGCAAATTGTGCCGCGTGGTTGTCTATCTTCCTCGTTATATGTTAATCAATGGGTTAAGGTAACTGTTGAAATTGAAAAAGCAAAATATGTATGTACCTATGGCGCGCAATGTGAAAGCCCAAAGTGGAATCCTTGGCGCTACCGCCAGTTGATGAATGCCATGATACTGGGGACAAACCTGGGTTGAAGGTAAAGTGATTTTATCCTATACAAGGAGAAACTTACATTTTCTCGCCTGTGTGAGGACGCGAAAGAAGACAATTGCACGCATGGAGCGAGAAAATTCAATTTTGTCGGCTAGGCGAGAAAAAAAATACGCCTTATGTAAGCTAGATGGCGCGGTTGTAATAAAATGTCAAAGAAGTTATTTCTTTTTAATTAAATAAGAAACATAAAATCGTCAACACTGATTTAATAATTAAATTTACCCTATGTTCACTTTATTTTACTGAATTCAAGAATTTATTTAATTACCGCGAACCTGTACCTATCAATGTTCCGTGAAATTGATAACTTTCCCAATATCACGTGACCAATTCAAACGTTTCAAACTTAAGTCATAATCTCCCATTTACTTTCAATAACGAGCATCTGTATCAATACATTTAACACCAAAATGTACTTTGCACTGTAAGTAGAACACCGTTTATCCGCAATAAGTAGCATTTTAACATACGAGACTACCCCGAAATTAAAATGTGTCCAGTGTGACTGTAAGGAATGAATAAATCTATTTATAAAACACATTTTTTTAAAATACAAGATCATCAAGGATTTAAAGTGTGCCCATTGCGCGTTCGTCACCAAGCATAAATCCAGTCTTAAAAGCATCTAACATTTGACAAGACATGGATCCTGCCAAGGATTTAAAATGTAACCGGTGTGATTTTGTCCCTGAAAACACACATTCAATTTTAAAACACATTTGTTAATACACAAGACCAGTAATAATTTCAAATGCGCCTGGTATTAATTACCACCCCTTAAATCCCGTTATTTTCTAAGGAAATAATCACGCGCCAGTGAAATGCCGGAAATGTCAACTCAGTTCGCACATGATCGGTATTCTCCACTTGCACCTCTGCTCTGTTGCACCGTGACTCCCTTCGGTGACTCCGCACTGTGCAATCGCAAGCGCGCTAGAATTTGAATTTGCGTTGAACTGTATTATAAGGGAAAGGGGTAAATCTACGAGTAAAAAATATACTCGTGGGCCCACTTAGATTGCACCGTTTCGTAAAATTTTTTTCGCGTAGTCAGCAGGAAACGTGGAAATAAACAAAACAAACGCGTGC